GTACGTAATTGTAGAACATTGTATTATTTTATATACTTTAGACAAATTATTAAAACAAGTTATAATAATTATGTAAAAACTGTCTTGTTTTCTATCCCAAAAGATCATCTTGTAATTTGTGTTTCTGTAAATAAATACTACAGTAAGATGTGTACAATAATATAAAGCCTAGTAATAGGAAAACCTTTGGTTCGCGGAGTAACATGAAAAATAAATTGTTAAAAAAGTGATTAGAGATTTAAGCTTTTTTAATTAAAAGAGGCTTTTTGCGATAACGATGAATGTTGTGTACTTTATTGTACGTGCCAAACAAACTATTCAATGAATTCTGATTGTTCACGTATGTTGTTTTAAATATACTCACGACAGCTTAAAGTTTTTAAAAATAATCAAAGCCGAAGGGAAAAGGCCCATCAAGAGGTTTTTACCAAGCTTTTCTTATAATTTAATTAAAATATTTACCTTAGCGTAATTAGATATGATAGTTTATATTAAAAGTGGTTTTTGATACACTTAATTTTAACGATTAACATTCTGATTTTTTAAATAGAATTTTTATGTTAAGAAAAATGCTATCTGGAAAATCCATCGAAAAAATGTCTCTAAATTTCTTAGAAACTTCTTAAAATTTTACCTAATCGTAAAACTTTTAGAGCTTAAGAAATTAGAGTTCGGGAAGTTATGGCGGGGTGGGGAGAAGCAATGTAGGCTTCCATAATGCACAGAAAATTTCACTATGTTTACTACGTCATTTTCAAAGACGTGAGATTACAATGTCTTATAATTATTTTAAACTTGAAAGTAAAAAAGCAGTTTTTATATGATTATGCCATATTTTTTATGTTTATGATGTGTATGCAATACTATATCTCAACATTTTTTTATAACTGTGATCTTGAAGTCAAGCTCAAAAATTAAATAACTATATTATAAAAGTAAATTTTTATTTTTGTTGATATTTAGCTAAAATGACGTGTAAGTGTAGCAAGTTTGACTTTTGAAACATAGCATTACATCCAAATAAAATATAAAATACCAACTAGTCACTTACGTAGTACAATTATTCATTTGCAATTGAAATGTTTTAGGATTGAGGTATCAAATTAAAAGACATTACTGACCTTATCATAACATAGTAAGTATTGATAAAGTTTTGTTGGAATCCAAAGTATTAATAATTGTTATTACTTAATTAAATTTTTTTATATTGATCATTTAGTTGAATGGCTAGATTTTTGTGTTACGATTGTAAAAAAGTTAGCAACAAATGATATGAAGTATTGCGTATAAAATATGAGAGTATCTAAAAATCACCACAAACTGTGATAATAACGTAGGCATTAATAATTCTTAAAAACAAGTCGAATGGACTTTTTAAATATTACATATTTTTACTACTGAACAAATAACATTTCGACTATCATATATAATAGAAGTCCAATACTGCATTATAGAATAATTGGCTATAAAAATCGCATGAAAAACAACACTTTAGAATTTTTTTAGTAATATGAAATAATATACTTTTCAACTAAAAGTAAACTTTTCACATTAAATTTAGGCATCTGTACTCAGCTATTGAACACAAAATTTAACATTACACTATGCAGACTACCTTGACCTTATTAACATGTGGTGATACGCAATTATACTCAGTCCAGGAAAATTATAATTCAAATAAAAAATTGTAATTAATATGGTTTGAAATTAAAAAAAATTTTTGAACAGATTTTTTCTACTGATCATCACGAGGTGTTAAAAGCAATTCTATTCGTCCATTAGCTGGTTGTAACGTAATATTAGCCACCATTTTCATTTCAGATGGCTTTAAAACACTAGAAACTTTCCATTTTCTTAAAATGGCTGTTAATACAGTTTTTAGTTCCAAATACGCGAATTTTTTCCCGATGCAGTTTCTTGGTCCTGCACTAAAAGGAAAATATGAGTATATGTGTCGACCCTTTGAATTTTCTGGCAAAAAACGGTCAGGATCGAATGTTTCAGGATCTGGCCAAATTTCAGGGTCATGGTGCGCTTGATAAAGGTTCATTCTAATTATTGTACTTTTTGGAATTAAATAACCATCTATAAATAAATTTAAAAATAAATGTTTTAAATGAAATTGGAATAACATTTTTTTAACTTTTAGACTATACGACACACAAGGAAAATAAATGATTAAAATTTTACCAATAACAATATCATGCTCAGTGCATCGACCGATTGAAGGAGCACTTGGATATATTCTAAGAGCTTCCTTTATTACACGGTCCAAGAATTTTAATTGTCCTAATTGACTTGCTGTTGCAACTTCATCAGAATCACCAATTACTTCTTTCATTTCTTGGTAAACTTTTTCTTGTATTTCAAAAGCATTGCCAAGGGCAAACAGAGTATTACATATACCCATAGCAACTGAGTCTTGACCCTAAATTTGAATGCTTAATTAATAATTGGCTTAAAAATGAGGTAAATGATAATATATCTATTGATTTAATAAAAGTTTAAAAACAATTACAGCAAACATGAATGTATCAACTTCTTCTCTCAATTCCTTCAGAGACAATTGGCTGTCAGCATTTTCACTTACATCTAATAATATATCTAAAAATGCTTTTCGTCCATGTTTTCCTGTGAATTAAGAACATTTCAATACAAATTAATAATGTATAAGAAATTTAAAAAAATGTACAGCACATATTGAGTAAACAATATATTAACCATAAACATTTTCTCTAACTTCTGTGATATCAGGCATTTTCCTTTTAGTGCGTTCTCTTTGTTTGTACATTATTATCTAAAATCGTATATATTTAGTTTAGGTAATACATTCATAATGTTTGTGTCTGCAAAAATAATATTGCATTACTTTTTCAGTGAATTTCTGCAAAATTTTTACAGCCTCCAAAAACTGTTTACCACTTTGCGTATTGTTATATATGAAATCTGATGCTAACCAAAATCGAACAGCTCTCTCAGCAAATAGTCGGCTAAAACTTTAAAAATATGTGTGTATATAAATATATATCAAAAAGTTAAAACTATTTCTTTAATCACTTGATATTCAGAAAACAAAATTAAAGTGCATTTTGTAAATACACGTTGATCTATAATTTATGTGCATTAAATAATTTTTATAATATATTATAAGTATCAACATAGATGTGAGGACACATTTTGAAGGTAATATAAGAAAGCTCCTTGGCTGTAACGTTACCAAATGAGCCATATGTCATTAAATAGTTTAAATTATGCCAAATCTAACAGTACCCTTATTTACATCTCTAGCTGGACAAAATTTTGAAAAATTTATGCTTTAAGTTTGCTCTTTCAACTAGAGCGGTTATGACAGGCCTACTAAGATTAACAATTTGCAACCCTCATCAAAAGTGTCAAATATTTTAAGTATACTGGTATTGTAGACTATGATTATATCTTTTAAATACTATCGTGAAAAATATGGGTAAAATGACTAAAAATGGAAATATGTGCCAAAGAAGAGAGCGTAAATTCACGCAGGCTTCAGTGTCACGTTAATTTATACATTAACTTGTGTACTCTATTTTTCATAGTTATAGATATTCTCATTGTGTATGTGACGTCATGATAATATATGTAAAAAAACAGTCATTTTGACTTTTTACTATAACTCGATTAAAAATCAATATTTTTTCTTGATACTTTCAGAAATACTTGATTTTGGTATTATGTTGACAAGGTTAAATTTTGGGAGAGTTTAATGAAACCGTTTTTACGTTATTTGAAGTTATATGAATGTTCGATACTTTTTCCAAAACGTTGTATCTTTGAAAGTTTTCAATCGTTTTCTATGTTTCTGGGCTCATTTTTTTCGTACGTAATTGTAGAACATTCATATATAATATATACTTAACAATGCCACATATATGTATATATTGTTTTCTGTAACTTTTAAAATACCAAAATTTTCAGGTACTATATCTTTTTCAATTTGTATTTTTAAGAAAAAAGAAAAAATACGTGTCAATTATTTTTCAAAATTATACAAGACCGATTAAATAAAATTTTTGATGCAAAAACCCAATTTACGCTGCTTGTGCATTATCAGCGCTATTTCTTGCAAAAAATTAAGGAACATAGGTTACATCTTATGGATTACATCATTTTATACTGTTGGAAGAAATGTAAGATGTAGCTTTTATTACTTTTTTAATGAAATAAGGAATAGTAGTTTGTTGGAAAAAAATTGTCAAGTTCGTAAGCAAACAGTTAATTATAAGCAAACTTATTTTAGTGATCAATAAATTTATTTTAATTTATGCAAAGAGTTAAAATAATCAGCTGGATGTACATATGACTTAAACATTATTCAATTTTTTTCGAGTAGATAATCATCTTTCTGCCCAAATGAATTATTCCTAATTTGGGGCTCTGAAATAAAATATAACTGTTGACATGAAAACACAAAGATATAGATATTTAATTGAAAAAAAGTATCAAAAAAGGAACTTGAAGCAAAAAACATGTGTTGCCGCAAGTGCTGTACGCAAGATAACATCATTAGCCACTCTGTTCCCGCTGTGAAAACTTGTAACTGATACATCGTAGCTGTGAGTGTAGCTTACATGATAAATAATCTCATGCAAATTCACCATGGGGTGTCCAATATCTACGATCTACTTGTATATTTGAGCGACCATATCGATTGCAGTATAACGTTACACGTGGGTTGATGAATTCGTTGTAATTGACCAAATCTTATGAATAGTATAAACATAAATAAAAACACTGTTTCAAAGTGGTAAAAATTGTAGAAGCATCCAGTGATTAATAATTGGTATTTCTGAAAGATAGTTTCAAGGNCCTGGCAGTATTCGTTATCTGGTTGTTGGATTGCATTAACACTAACACCCATAGCTGTTTCACAAATTGTATCAAGAGTGTATCTACCAATAATATCAAAAATGTTAATGGGAGCTTTTGGATTACGGTTACATTCCTTGTCTATAAGTTCAATCAATGCTTGGACATTTTCTCTCATTACTGCGGAATACTCCCCGAGTACACCAAAGTGGAATGCAGGTGTTATGAGTCTTCTGTGATTAAACCATCTTGTGCCTTAAGAATAAATAAAATTTCACTACTTTTGATACCCATAAATGCATGCATAATTGCCATCAAGTTCTAATTTGTATTACCTGTAGTCGTTATCAAACCTTCACCTAGCCATGGCTTTACAAAATTATAAAATCTTGATTTTTTTATTATTGTTGTACTTGTTAGGATTTGCTAAAAATTATTTTCATTTGTACTCATTGAACAAATATTGAAATTAATACAAATAGATTTACTAGTGAAGTAAAATAAATGATTCGTGAATAGTTTCCAATCAGTAATAAAAGAAACTTCAAAAATGTTTTTTTTCTATATTAATATAAATCGGCGTATGTAATACAAGTATACATATAGCTTACTTCTATCTGATGAGGTTTTCGAATATTGATTACTGGTTGAGTACCGAACCATATTAGAAACATACCATTTTTAAATTGGTAACACAAATCGTTGAACACAGCAAGTCGGTCTGAAACACAAACTTTTTTTCATAAGCAAAACTTATTTTTACTATAGTTAATTCTCATTACTTTAGTAAATAATAATTACCTTCAGGAGGAACACCCATCATGAGTGGAGCAATGCCAATAAGAGGATATTGTTTTGGTCCAGGTACTTTATTTAATACTTTCCAAATTTTTAAATAATTTAAGAGCCATTTTTGGACCACAATAGCAATTACCATCATACATATGAGAACAATCGAAATCATCTTAAAAAGCTCCAGTTATTACAAGTAACTATTTAATTACATGTACTGTTCAGAAGACGTGTGGGATGAAAGAAATAAGACACGTAGGTAGGAGTAGTAAAAAATACACCGTTCTCTCTGTATTTGCTGCTCAAGATTCATTAATATTATCAAATTGTAGATATAAAAAAATGCACATATTTTTTGAGCTTTGAGAGTTGAAATGAACTGACAATTGTCTTGTATTTCTCTTAAAAAATTCTAAACTTGTACATACATTTTTAGTCTTAATTTATAATAATTCTTTATTCGAAGTAAAGAATTAAAAAACGAATGTGTGAAAAAGAGGCTGTTAATGCACAAAATATGTTAATTGGTGTTTTTTGTTGTTTAGCTAATATCCAGCCAATTAAAAATCTAATAAAGCTACAACGGAGCACCAGCTAAGCAACAAAGCACATCTAGCTAGGGACCAGTTACAGCGTATAGTATTAAAAACATAAAATAAACAGCATCTGTTGTCCTTTCTGCTATTTTTAACTGAAAATTATATATGGATTACGTGCTCACGTCATAATGTAAGTACTCACTACTAAATTCCAAGTAAGGGGCTTTTGCATGGAATATTATTAATTTTGTTTTAAAGATTTTAGCTGTAATGACACATAAGTGTTACTTATGACGTGAAATGTATTTAAATTAATATAAAGAGAAACATTATATCAAATTCATTGCATCTTGATTTAATAACGTGAATAATACTACATTTTGAAAATAGAGCACGTATTGTGAAGAACGTGGAAAAGTAGGGTAGGTAAAAGTAAAAGAAATAGTAAAGGAGAAATTTATTTTAAACTATGTACACAGGTAAGGGTAGTAATTCACTGATATCAAACAATACATTTAGGGAAGGTACATAAATGAATTTAATAATCCTTTTTTATCGCATGCTAAGGTGTTTTATAAACTGTAGTGCCGCATCTTTTATTTTTATTTAGATACGAATCTATTAAAAATGATCAAACATCATTATTTTAATTTTATTATTATTATTACTA